TTATACGTCAACAAAATTTTCTTATGGGAGTTAAATTTGGTTTCTCTTTTCCGAGTGCGTTTGGCTCTTCTATCCGACCAATTTTCATGATTCAGGTCTTAAATTGAAGTCATAAACGCAATGATTTTACATCAAGCATCGGCCATCGAAGTAAATGCATCGGCATATATTTACCTACTGTATTATTTGAACGAAAAAAATTATTTGATTCATTTTCAAATTTTTACTTCAATTTAAGATGTATTTCACCAGTTATTTTGGTCTAAGGAACTTCAGTGAAATACCTGCATTCATTTAAGTATTAGTTATTAAAATCGGACGAGTTTCAAGCAAACGCAAGGAGAAAAACTAACATAAACATTTTTTCGTAAGGGTTTTCTATGACTAAAAATCAATGGCTTCAGTATTGTTCATGTATGTTTTAGACTCAAAATAATCAGTACTGTATTTATAGGCTTTAAATTGAGCTATTAATCGTATGAATCAGTACCTATCAAGATACTGTATTACTCATCAAAACTCATAAATTTGATTAGTTCTTGGATATTATATTTTTAGTTTAACGCTGCGGAGCAGCATGGGTCCTCTAGTATTCCCTAAAAATCGTCAGATTTATTTCCTATTTAAGTACATTAATTTTAGTGAGTAGGGCCTACTTAGGTTTGCTGCTACAGGGAACATATTGAGGTGTGTTTTTTTATTGCAATGATGATAGCTTAGTATTAAATAAACAAAATTTCCAAATTTGGTTAAAATATATCCATAAACAAGTGAACTACAACGGTTTATTTATTCTCCATAAGAATAACGTTGGAATTTTAAATTTACATTTTTTAAAATTATCTCCGTAACCGTTGGGCATACAACAACGCTTCAATATACAAAATTATTTTTTCAAGCGATACAAAACAGTTTGGAGAGAAATTATCTTGTGCATTTTGTGTTTTTAGGGCCAAAAATGGGGAAAATCAATTTTTACCCCGCAAACCCCCATTCCCATAGCCCGATGATGCTGGTTCGCAAACTTGTTCAAATAAACGTAGGTTTACATGTTTGTACAAAATTTCATTAAAATCGGATCTTTTTTGCTCGTGATATCGCGCTAACGGACATATATATGAACGGATGGTGTTTTTGGCCTCTGGGGACCTCAAAAGGAAAAAGTAAATCGGTCCCGGGTCTAGGTCTTACCATGAGACCTACAGTAATAGCTTATTTCCCTATAAGGAAAATCCCTAAAACACTCTATTAATTTCCTTGTAGCAGGAAATCTATGTACTGTATTCTTAAAACTAATGTTATTTAAATCAATTTATTTTTGTGTTGATAAATTGATTTGATTTTGATTTAAAATTCATTTTATGTCTGTTGTATGTTTTTCCTTTATGTGTTGCTAAACCATTCATCCGATCGCCATGAAACTTTAGGAAGTTGTTCGCTATATGTGACCGGGGGTGTTTGTGTGAAATAAAATTTTTGAAAGCTCTAATAGGGCTGTGCCCCAGTGGTCTTTAAAGTTCCTATGTTATCCATACAAAGAAAAGATTTTTTTACATTTGAACAGAATAATACTTTTTCCTACAGTTACCTGACAAAGCGGGCTATCTGTACAGATAATAGCACGCAAAGTAGCTAATTGCTGCATTAACTTACTTTTGCCACACTCCAGTATTTAAACAAAACAACACAAAACACAAACAGTGTGCTTTTGTTATGCACATAATACGTGAACGCTTGAAATTATGTTGGCAACACTTAAAGATACAACAACTAAGATCAGCTGTTGCAGTCTTTTCCCATTTCGTTCAACACTTGGATTTAACCTAATCTTTGTTTGGTGTTTAAAAGACTAATTATTTCTATGCTTTATTGCAACTGTAGGGAAAATATAATGTGTAACATGAGTGGCAAAGGGATTTTGCTGCACTCGAGAAACCTTCCAGACTCACCTTCGGCTCGAGCATAAGCATTTCTCTCATGTGCAGCAAAGTGTCACTTCGCACCACTAGTTACTCAAATAACTATTGAATTAATTACACTTACTATAGTCTGTCTAAAATTATTGTGCGGTTGGAATTCAACATATGATTTCCCTATCATGGTAAATCTCCCACTCATTTACCCTTTTCTACACTAAAATCCCCGTAACAATCATCTGTTTTATATTGCAGACAGGTATTTTAGAAAGCATTTGTTTATTATGATTGAACTACACATATAATAAAACTAGAAGAATTATTTTAACAATAATAATCTACGTATCAATTTTAATTTCAATAGAAGTGTTGTTATAATGTAATATTAATCCTGGACTAGCATTTATGCTTTATGCTTTTGATGGATTGTTTTAAATACCGGGTGTCCGAAAAAAAACTGAAACATTTTAAAGGCAAATACTGTTACCAATTAAGAGACTATGTTTAATGTTTTATACAGGGTGTCCCGGAACTCTCTACCAATATTTTAGGACATTGATCCTGGGTAAGACACGTACCTAAATATCATATTTAAATTGTCCGGAAGTCCTTAGTTACTTACACAGCCGCCATTTTGTTTTTTTCAGTTATTATTTTTTTTCTAAAGAATGGTTAAACATAAGAAATTGAAACTTTGCACAAACCTTTATGACAACTAGACAAAGCTACAAAAAAATTATGACGATTTTTCAAATTCATCAAACAAAATGGCGGTCATTTAAAATTTTCTTTCTTAAATAACTCAAAAACCATTGATTTTACAAAAATTTTAAATGACCACCATTTTGTTTAATGAACTTAAATAATCGTGATAATTTTTTGGTAGCTTTGTCTAGTTGTCATAAATGTTTGTGAAAAGTTTAAATTTCGTATGTTCAACCGTTCTTTAGAAAAAAATTAATAACTTAAAAAAAACAAAATGGCGGCTGTGTGAGTAACTAAGGACTTCCGGACAGTTTAAATATGATATTTAGTTATGTTTCTTACCCAGGAGCAATGCCCTAAAATATTGGTAGAGAGTTCCGGGACACCCTGTATATGGATATAATGATTATGAAAATCTGCCGAACGCACCTTTCCCCACCTCCTTCCCTATCTGCGCGAATCCTTTTTTTGAATAAAACATTTTTTACGCCCCCGGTCCCAACTTTAAGTCTTAGCTGTCTGGCGCCCCCCTAAAACACTTGGCTGACTGGCGCCCTAGGCTCCAGCCGAATTAGCTTAATGGGTAATCAGGCCCTGTATTTAAAGCTCAAATTCTTAAGTTTTATTAGAAACTTAGTAGGCTATAACTCGATATTAGCACCATCAGTGGCCCGGCAAAAATCTAAGTGAAATTTGAACTTTTCCCAGGTTTTGGTTAGTACTTCAGGGGATACAAGCGTTGCCATTTAATGTGACATGTTAGATGAGTATTTTTCCCCATAACTGGGTGGCATTGAGATGGGGAATGTCCCTGTCTATTTTCAACAGGATGGAGTGCCGCCACACTACAGTTTGAGTGTGCGAGAGGCGCTGGATACTAGTTCGACGATTGGTGGATTAGCAGAGAAGGGCCCATCCAATGGCCTCCTAGGAGTCCAGATATGACTTCTCTGGACTTTTTCCTTTTGGGGTCAGTAAAGAATGATGTCTACTCGGTGCAGATTCGTTATCTTAATCACTTCTTACTATTACTGAGGATAAACTAACATAACAAATTGATCATACTATATTTGAATGAACGAGTTATGTTTGGAGGTGCACACAAATTAAACCATTTGTATGTAGCAGCTATATTACATTTTTTGCTTTTTCCATTGTTTACTAATTGTATAAATATTTCAAATCCCTAATAATAAAAGGCAAATATGCCTTAGTACACACCAAATAGAAAACAAAACTCGTAAAAATATATAAATATAATTTTATATATACAACCACAAAATGAACCTAATGATGTAAATTTAACAAATGTTAACTGTAATGTGGACGTTAACAAAGTACTGGAGACGTTCCATTACATCATTCACTCTCATAACTGGAAAGATATTCACCATCATCTTCGCTTAAGCCATCAGAGTCAGTGTCATCATGCAGATTTATAATAAATGGTTCCATGATTTCGTCACGAAGTCCTTCTTTAAAAAAATCTTCTTCCTGGATATTTTCAGCATGAATTACACATTTCTTCCAGTCTTCTACTGTTACATGGTTCATGGCATTTTCTAGAAGGTTCCTGACATCCTTTATTTTGAAAGACGTGTTTTTTTGCGCCACCTCCCCTTTCACTTGAGCCCAAATTAGCTCTATGGGATTGTATTGACAATGGTAGGGTGGTAGGCGAATAACCTCATGACCCATCTGCAACGCAAGCTCGTCCAGTTCGTACCGCGGAGGAAAGCTGTGCCTATGCTGCCGTACGGTGGTAAGGAGTTCTGCTACTGTGTGGACTGGATTGTGTTCAATACCATTATCTGATAGCCACTTCACAATGTCTGCCTTTCTAGATTTTGAACTTGGAATTTTGTTAAGTTGTTTCGAATGGTAGCTGGCATTATCCATTACAATAATACATGGCTCTTCTAGGCTTCTCAGTAAATCGAGAAACCATTCGTGGAAAACTATATGGTTCATTTCTTGGTGATAATCGACATTACTTTTTGATTGAAATACGAGCTGTGCGTCTTTTATAAAACCATATTTAGCTGACCCAGCGTGACACACGACAAGCCTAGAACCCTTCCCTACTGGAACCCGAAACCCTCCCTTGCCATCTAAGCTTTCCCAAATACACTTTCTTGCATGGTTTTGGTTTACCCACGTCTCATCCAGGTATACAATTGGGAGAGGAGTTTCCTGCCGCCTTAAATCGTGCATCTTTCTTAGAAATACTACCCGGGAAGCGACAATATCAGACCGTTCTATTAAGAATTTTCGGCCGTTGTTAGTCTTTTTAAACTTAAATCCCACATCTCTAAGTATCTTACATACAGAATCTTTACTTCCACTAAATCCAATTTTGTCTTTTAGCACAATCTTCAACTTCCTGCAGGTCGGGTACTCTCCTCTTTCGTAGAAATCAAAAACAGTTCTTCGGACTACGTCCTTGTCGAATTGGTCTAGATCAGTTATCCACTTTTTGTGGGATATTTTCCTTTGAGATGAAGAAAATGTTGCTTCTTTTGATATATTTTCTTTATTACAATCTTCGGAGTCCATATTATGTGCTGCAATGGATTTGTTTCTTCTCCCGTTATGTTTTGAACTGTTTGAAGAGAAACAGAACAAGCTTCTGCTGTAGCCTTTTGGGTTTGATTGAACACTTCCCTCACTGTCGCATTTGGTTTGCTGGTTACAAGCTGTTTTAAATAATTGTACACACTAAAAATTGTGTTTTTAGTTTGAATTGTAATGTCTTGGCACCTTTTGGCCATTTCTAATTAACACTAATCAAGTAATAATATTACACAGTCTGAATAATATTAAACTGCACAAAATACTATCAGAATAATCACAATGTTGTTTACAACTAAAATGTAAACAAAGTGACAACTGTTATAAAATTATAAACAGTATGAATCAGCTGTAGGGTAATATGTTGTGGTGGCAGGGGCCAGGGAGAAAGCAGGGAAAAACAAATTTGTCCTTCAACCGCACATTAAATTCAGACAGAGTATAGTAACTAAGGAAACAGCTGGTTAATCATAATATATTGTACAACCGAACCATGTGATGGGTTAATTTATTTTAGGATTGTGTCTATGATTTGAGAAATAAGTAAGATTCTGTAACCAAGTGAAAATTTTGAAACGTACGTTTTTATGTCCCTGGCCTTTTACTTCGTAGATACTGAATATGTAGTTTATCATTATGTGTTTCAATATTTTTTGGGACGGGGGCAACATGTTACACACAATTATTTGGCTTTAAATAGGTTCTAGGTATTTTTTTTGTATTTTTAAAGTCTCGAAACTCACGACCGTCACGTGTCCTTAGGGTTGCAACTTTCATGCCGTTTTTAGAATAATTATTCATGCCGAAATATATAATGTCATATTTTTATTACATCATTAGTTATTAAACTTACGAAAAAGGAGCATCTGATAATTTTGTTTTCATTGTAAACTGACTACCATGACTAAATAGGTCTGTCCCTCGATTTGACGTCACGACCATTAGGGAAAAATTGGCAACTTTGGAGCACGACAGTGGCAAGCCTGGCGTCGATGGAGTCAGTTGGTTTTAGAGACTAGTTCGGGGTGTACATCAGGATTGTAGTGCCGGTCGTTTCGAGTTGAAAGGAGGAATTAAAAGACTAATAAAGGCAAGTTTGTGTTTTTTGTAATTTTGGTGTGTCCATGACCGTACGTAGTCATTCGATGAAGTAGACATGGCGTTAATTTTAGTTTTTAAGATATTTCAATTGCTAGATTAACCTAGAAATCCACTTTGTATCCTCGAACATGAGGTGCAGGGCTACCGCCAGAACAGAGCCAAATAACACGTAATGTCACGACCAAAGTTTCACGACCATCGCGGGTTTTTTCACGACCTATCCAGCCTTATGGATTATACTGTGTTTGGTCGTGACAATAACTTAAATATCATTGTAAATTGAACAGTTTAGTTAAATTGAAACACATATTTTTATTATAACTAACAGTATAATTGAAGGATTGTTTAGAAAGATTTAGATTATTCCAGACAATTCACGACCGTATCGCTTGTGGGACCAACTCGTTTATGATTTCTATCATAAAAATTTCAAAAATTAAAATATCATCATATTTCAATGTTTTATCCTACACAAAAGAAGCACATCTCTGTGAAAACATAATGATTTTTCGGGTCTCAGGTAAGTTTTTTCAGAGTTATACAATCTTAAAAAGATTTTATTGGTTTTTTTTGAGTTTTTTTTTCTAGAAAGACCAAATATACCAAAAGCTTAGTGAGCTGTTTATTGTATAATGGCCATAAAAGTCAATTAATTTATATCAAAACATAGTTATAAAAATAATATTAACTATTTTTAACATTCAGTTTTATGTCCGTGATGGTCGTGACAAAATTTTGTGTTTTTCCATCACAATGCTCTATTAATAAAAAATCACCACAGATATTGCGTCACCATGGACATTTTATAAAACTTTAAATGATAATGAAATTTAGAAAAAATAAAAGTTTCAAAAAACAGAACAAAAAATTTTAAAAGTGCTTTTCCTGAAAACGTATGTTTAAAAATCTTCACTCAACCGTAGCTGTATCAACCTAGGCTCTGAAACATTATTATTTTAATAATAGAGTTTTTTGGGAACGGTAGATAAATTACATTGTTTACATAATAAAATGATATTTTTAGATTTTTGTTAACAATGTTAATCTGCTTTACAGGCGTTTGTATAAAGTCTTTAAATATAGATTTTTTTTACAAAGAGATACTCTGATAATGTATTTATTTATTTAAGTTAGGAAACATTAATTACACAAATTTTTCACTAACAGTAAGTAATTTTTTAATTACTACCAGAAATTCCAACGTTTTCGCTTAAAATATGTATAATGAGCTTCAGGGATGATTTATGATTCCCGGTAAAAGGTAAAACATATCTATTTTGTGTTACACCAAAATGTCAACTAACTCATTTGCTGCATCAATGTGTACCCTGATGCATCAGATTTAAATATAGGTTGGTTCTCAAGTAAATACCCTTTTATTGAAGCATCATTTCTCAAGGTTCAAGTACTCAGTTTCATATGTCTATTAGCGCTACCATAGCCTCCTCTCACACTAGGCGGTGACGTTTGTACGTGGCAATGTCGCAACGTCATACATAATGCCATGGTAATAACAGAAATAACTCAAGTGTAAACATAAACATTTCCTATTCGATCCATTATAAATTAGTGCAACAGCGGTTTCGGTTTGACGGGACATTGGTGTTGCCACTTTTGTCTCGCCGCGGCCTCGTATTAGAGAAGGCTATGGCGCTACTCATATTGTACTGAATAGCCTAATAAATTTTCAGACTTATCTAAGTAAAAAAAATATATACTTTTAGATTACAAAAGTGATGCAAATGATTTTGCTTCTAAAATTGATTAAAGATGTTTTACTATTTCATACGGTAGACTTGAGGAACCAAACTTTTCCTTCCGCGGCTATTCCCCATCGCAAAGCACGGGTATAGCGGCTAGTAGGGAATAAATCTGACATAAAAAAATATACCTAAGTATAATCTATAATCTTATCTGGGCAATGGAAATTTGCTTAGTCTGCAGGTTTTCCAAATTTATTAACATATAAATAATTGAATTTGGACTACGAACAATATACAATGGCATCAATGAGAGTTTTGTTTGCTGCAATGGGGAATGTGCTAGAGAGTTGTTTTGATTAAACATAAAAGCCTCATTATTCCCTTTGCAGGAAAAATATTAACCATAAATATTTTGAGACAAATAACTTTGTTTTCAACACCTTAATAATATGGGAGTGCATTTAAGTTTTAAAAATATTCCTGAAATCTGGACTTTTTTAAGTCTATACGTAATAAGGTATTTAAAAATCTTCAAATATTAGAGACTTAGAATAAGTATAAAATTGTTCAAACAATATTTTGTCAACGACACACAGTATCTTTATAGAAAACCTAATACAACAAGAAAAACCCTTATCTTAGAGTGGCAGTAATCAAATCATTTGGATATGTTTCCTTAAATTGAAAAATAAGAGACTGGAAAACACCTTTGCGGTTTAAGAATATTGATTTGAAATATCTGGTAATTTTAAATAATGAGGTAAAAATTACCACTTTTAACAATCACATCAAGACCAACAATATTTAAAATTAATTTAAGAGTCAGAATGCTTACTTTTCTATAGCTCTTAAAAGTGTAACTTTAACTAGAACAGGCTGTATTGAATATACATATTTACTTAGTATGATTATATAGTTTAGCCATAAGTTATATCCATAAAATATTATCACACTTGTTTGATCAATTATTTAATTTTTTCATAAGAGACTCATTTGTTTCTCTTAATCTGTGTCCCCTTCCCTATATAATAACTGTTTTATTTGACTTGCAAACAATAGCATATTCTAAATCGTTGTATACCTGATGAGGAGGTCCTTGAGCAGGTACAGATTTCTTGCGTATGACTCCGTAGCCAAGGTGAGAGTCGTCTGCTGCTCTGATATCAAGAGGAGGTAGGGGAGCTGGTGGAGGAGGAGGCACCAATCCTGTTATCTGTCTGTAGCCAGGTTTAGTGTGAACTTTAGAAGTGGGACCTAAATGATGCAACCTGTCATAGTGGTGTTCTTCGGGATGGTGTCTGACAATATTCTGTACATCGTGCGGTTCTTGCGGAAGAAGTGAGAAAGGTCTTTCGGAGTGAGGCAAAACACCCACACCCATTGTTTTCCAAGCATCGTTTCTCACCTCAATGTCATCGTAGTCTGTATCTCCGGGTGAGACTCTAATGTCATTACTGACGTTTTCTTCGCGGTCATCTATCCTGTTCGGAAGGTTTTTTCTGGGGGGTTTTGCAGGTTTGGGCTTGAGAGGAGGCGGTGGTTTACTGTTACGGGGTAGAGGTTCTGCTGGAACAGGCATCAGTGGCTTCACTGATGATATTGGACCCAATTCTGTGTCTAGTAGAGGGGTCGAACTAGTAGGAGAGGGGGGAAGTGGGCTTCGGGATCGTGCCATCATACCCAACGCAGCATGAAACTGACTATCACCACAGACTATTGAAGGTGAAGACAAAGATTCTCCCGTCAACAATTTTTTCATATTTTTCATTTTTGAGGACAAACAACGGAATATTTCTTGTTGATTTGAATGTTCTAAATGAAAAGTTCCTTCACCACTCTCGCATTTTCGTCCAGCTTCAAAAGTAAACTTTCCATGTTTGTAGCCGTAGCGCCGGATGAACCTGTATGGCCAGGTAAACAGTATCTTTTGCTCGTCTCGTAGCTGTAGAGCGGCCTGAGTGACAACCAGAGTGTACGTCCCAGGAATGAGTCCACACCGTTCTGATGCATCAGAGGATACAAGCCTCACACTGAACACGCCAGCTGTAACAGTCAAACAGGTTTCATTCTAATTATTTATTGCTACTGCAAACGTTAATCTTATATACAAGTATTACAAATACACGGTTTTTAATGAATAATATATGAATTAATAAAAATTAGAGAGTATGTTAACAAGTTATAAAGGGTTACAAGCTATTTTGACCGGAATGTTAGACAGGATCAAGAAGATGGCTCAGCACCTCATGCGACATGGTGTGAACACTGGCTGTAAACTTAGGTGGAAGTAAACTACCTAATCAAGCATACCTTTACCAAGGAGCAAACTAAACTTTGGTTGTCTTCAACATTGAACCCAAGTTTGCATTGAATTAATTCAATTAGAAACATACTGAACAAGAGTCTATTACTTTAGTAAAGTTAAGTGATAAAAAAAGTTTAATAACAATTTTACCATCTTCAGAAGAACAGTAGAGTTCATTGTCCTCTTCAATAGTTTGTCGAGAAACAGTATCTTTGAATGCGACAGATTGCAAAGTTGTAACCCATTGCCACATTTCATCTTCTGTGTTTGCTGCAAAGTGCTGAATGTTGGTTTTTGTCACCACCTATAATGAGATTAATGAGATATTAAATAATAATTTTTAGAACTAGCCTTATAATAATGCATACATTTATTATTATACATACTGTACTTTAATAGATTGTACTATTTCAGCATAGTTGGGAAAGTTAGTAAAAAACTCTAACTAGTTACACGTTTTTAGTTAGTATATCTAGTTTTAGATAGAAGTTATTAGTTAGTTAGTTTATAAACTAACAAATAAAATAGAAGTTAGCCAAAAAAACTAACGAATATTGCTATTTGTTAGAATTTATATTCGTTATTCCCTGTGCATGTATTTCAGGAAGCCCATATATGTTTCATCTATACTAATATCTATTTAAGAGATTGGGTGTGTCTGTGTACTATTCAATCTTACTTGAACCACTGAACCGATTGAAATAACATTTCTTGTATACCTGGGTAACACATAGGCCAATTCCTGTTCTTATATTCCTATTCTTGGGACACGCCCCATGGGATTCCAAAGTTTTAATGTGTAAATACTTTGACAGTTCATTGATTGGCCTCTGTGCAACAACTAGAAAACTCACATTGTTTACATATTTTTACCACGCTACACTGTTTTAATAAACTTTCCACACAAGGGTTTAGTCCGGAAAACAGCTGTTTGTCGCCTGCTAAATCAAATGGGGTTTATTTTTACCAAACACCAGCTGATACCTGAGCTCAAGTTTAAATCAAGGGTCGAAGAGACAATTTTTGTGACTAACTCAAATATTTTTTGTGATATTGGAACATTATTTAAACAAACTAGGCTTAGGTTAAATAACGAAAATACTTTTTAACACAGTCAACAAAGCTAAATGAGTTTAAAAAAAAAATCGTGTAGTCCGGGATTTTGGCACAGTTTTAGGAGATTCGTATGTATATTACCCTCCAGAACAACACTTTGGAAATTTTTAAGTGAAAGTCCAATGGCAAATGGAAATTTGCTTAGTCTGCAGGTTCGCTTTGATGGGGGGTATTTCTAATGATACATCAGTGTTCAGTAATTGATTTTATTTCTACACTAAGGTACTACTTTGTTTGATTCTTTTGAGCTTATTTTGACCTAAAACATAATCTATAATATTAAAACGAAACAGTGTTTTTTTATTTCACGATTCTGAATCAACCACTCGACGGATTTTCATGAATTTTGTGTTGAAAGAAAGATAATTTTGAGAACTAGGGAATGTCGAAGCCATAATTTTAGTTTAGGGTCCCAGTTTTTTAGAAATTAAGTTTTAATTTTAAAAAAGTCTAGCAGCCGACGCTAAGATTCTAAACTAGCTTTTGGCATAAAATAATTTGCTTAACATAACAGCCGTAAACATTCAGTGTGTCACAAATTCAGCATTTGGATTAAAATGTAAAGACATACTTAGGATTGACTTATTTATACTATGTGTAATGCTAATCATTGATACGTTCAATTCTTCTGTAAGAGGATGACAGATTAATTAAATATACATAGTAAAATACTAGGATGATCAAATTATTTTTTAAAGCAATCTTTGATTTGTTTTAGAGCAATATAATTTGTCTTAACTAACAGCTGGTTAAATATAAACTATGGAACTATGAGGTTATTTTATTTTTGTCATTGATTATAAGAAATAAGTAAGATTAGTAGAGATAATTAGACCACAGTTTAAACCACAGTTTTAACAAAAATTAATTAAACCACAGTACAAATCGAGGCTCTGTACACGAGTCTTAATAAAAAAGGATAAATGCAAATTATTTTACTGCTCCACTTTTCAAGGAAAGATTAGAAAAATAACATAAGAGATAAATAAGTTTACATGTTTTAATTCTTCATGGTAGCATTTTGTTTACAATTAATGTTTGTCTGCTTTAACTTTGTTTGGATTAGTCCTGGAAATATTGATGTCATAAAAAGAAGATCAAGAATAATCAGGAATCACGATTTTAAATTACCACCACAACCTCAGCCGGGTTACAAAGATAAACAGATGGATGACATAGATTGAACACAACGTCAACATTGACCTAGGATACTGCAATTAGACAAACCATCCTTTTATGAAATCGTGTTTAGTTGTGGTTACGTTTGAACGTGAAAATATCATCACTTTTATTTCAACTATGAATATTTTGTAGTTTAAATGAACTAATATGGGAAATTACGATGTACATTATTTATTCAATGAGGGTGGGTAATTATCAAGGATAGAACTGATAACGGTATGGATAATAAACATTGACAATTACGTTATTAGCTTTACTAGCGTAGCGTGTTTACTTTTTATATTCCTGCTACATGTGACCAGTTCTTTTTTTCAAATGAATGTTATTAGAACCAAACAGCTGTTTCAAAACAAACTGTTATTGTTTTTACTTTTCTTTGTTTAAGCTTATTTATTTAGCAATTAATGCAGTGAAATTGATATAAAGGATAGGTGTGACGATTAGTTTTGATGTTAGGGCACCAAAGTTAAAACTAGCTGATCTGAATTGTACATGGTTTTATAACTGACTACTGAATTCCCGTACGTAGGACGGGCTAACACCTCGTCTATAATATTAAAACGAAAGTGTTTTTTTATTTCACGATTCTGAATCAACCACTCGACGGATTTTCATGTTTTTTGTGTTGAAAGAAAGATAATTTGGAGAACTAGGGAATGTCGAAGCCATAATTTTAGTTTAGGGTCCCCATTTTTTGGAAATTAAGTTTTAATTTTTAAAAAGTCTAGCAGCCGACGCTAAGATTCTAAACTAGCTTTTGGCATAAAATAATTTGTTTAACATAACAGCTGTAAACATTCAGCTTTTGTGTCACAAATTCAGCATTTGGATAAAAATATAAAGACATACTTAGGGTTGACTTATTTATACTATGTGTAATGCTAATCATTGATACGTTCAATTATTCTGTAAGAGGATGACAGATTAATTAAATGTACATAGAAAAATACTAGGATGTTCAAATTATTTTTTAAAGCAATCTTTGTAATCTTTAAATTGTTTTAGAGCAATATAATTTGTTTTAACTAACAGCTGGTTAAATATAAACTATGGAACTATGAGGTTATTTTAATTACTCTTATTTTGTCATTGATTATAAGAAATAAGTAAGATTAGTAGAGATAATTAGACCACAGTTTTAACCAATTTTATTTACTCTTATTTTGTCATTGATTATAAGAAATAAGTAAGATTAGTAGAGATAATTAGACCACAGTTTTAAACAAAATTAATTAAACCACAGTACAAATCGAGGCTCTGTACACGAGTCTTAATAAAAAAGGATAAATGAAAATTATTTTACTGCTCCACTTTTCAAGGAAAGATTAGAAAAATAACAATGTTTACATGTTTTAATTTGTCATGGTAGCTTTTTGTTTACAATTAATGTTTGTCTGCTTTAACTTTGTTTGGATTAGGCCCGGAAATATTGATGTCATAAAACGAAGATCAAGAATAATCAGGAATCACGATTTTAAATTACCACCACAACCTCAGCCGGGTTACAAAGATAAACAGATGGATGACATAGATTGAACACAACGTCAACATTGACCTAGGATACTGCAATTAGACAAACCATCCTTTTATGAAATCGTGTTCAGTTGTGGTTACGTTTGGGGGCGCCTATTTCAGCGCCCCCAAACATGAGAATATCACTTTTATTTCAACTATGAATATATTGAAGTTTAAATTAACTAATATGGGAAATTACGATGTACATTTATTCAATGAGGGTGTGTAATGATCAAGGTCACATTAAAACCGCAAGAAACTTTGTCTTTATATGTGTGTAAACTAGCTGATCTGAATTGTATACGGTTTTAACTGACTACTTAATTCCCGTACGTAGGACGGGCTAACACCTCGTTAGGTTTTAAAAGTAAAAAGATCTGCACTTTTAAATAAGTTTATCTTTTAAAATTAAATTATAGAGTTACTGTGTACTATTTTTACACACATCAGATATGGAATGTACCTAATTAATATTTTTACAAATAAACTATACAAATTGTAGGAGCACTAGCAGGAATATAGCTAATTTCCCATATAGGGAATAAGCTATTACCGTAGGTCTCATTGTAAGACCTGGACCCAGGACCGATTTATTTTTTCGTTTTGAGGTCCCCAGAGGCCAAAAACACCATCCATTCAAATTCATATACATATATATATATATATAATTTTGATTAAATTCGGTATAAACGTGTAAACCTACATTTATTCGAACGAGTTTGCGAACCAGCATGATCCGACCATGGGAACAGGGGTTTATAGGGGGTTTTATGGGTTGAAAATGGGTTCTTTCCATTTTTTACCTTAATAACATAAATTTGTTGCTATTTCTTTCTAAACCATTTTGTAGAGCTTAAAAAAGAAATAATTTAGTATAGTGAAGCGCTGTTGTATGCCTAACAATTAAGGAGAAAATACAAAAAAAAGTGTAATTTAAAATTACCATGTTTTATGGAGAAAATGAAAACTGTTGTAGTTTACTTGTTTATGGATATATGTTGATAAAGTTTGGCATATTTATTCATTAGGCCTACATCCTATACTATTGACAAATGGTCAAAACAAAACTTTTTACCTTCCGCTTAAGGAAACCTTAGCACTTGTTAAACCTAATCATACAGTGTGTAAATTAAGTATTGAAACAAATCAGTATTTTTAAAACCAAAATATATATAAATATTCTGTTTGTGGCAATAATTATTAACAAAGGTTCCGCAATTTTTTACATCTCAAATATTTTTTAACCCCCCCTAACAGGGTAAGGGGTAGGGGGTGACTCTTTTTCAAATAGCAACCTCTATTGAGTGACCTCTCATTTTGAAGGATTTGTCAAAAGAAACACAATGAAGCAAACCCGAGGTGGATATCTCACCCCTAGCCAAAATGGCAGGTATTCCAAAATTTGATTTTCTGTATGTGAAAAAGCACCAATTTCACAAATAATGGAAAGAAATCTGTACTTTTAAAACCAAAATAGATAGAAATATTCTGTTTGTGGAATTGACAATATACATAGGTTCCGAAACTTTTTACATCAACAATAATTATTGTTCAACCCCTTAAACAGGGTAGGGGGTGGGGGTGACTTATTTTTTTCAATAACAACCCCTATTGAATGACCCCTCATTTTGAAGGGTTTGTTAAAAGAAAAACAATGTCGCAAACCCGAGGTAGATATTTCACCCCTAGCCTAAATGGTGGGTATTCCAAAATTTTATTTTTGTAAAAAAGCACCCATTTTGGAATATCCGCCATTTTGGCTAGGGGTGAGATATTCACCTCGGATTTGGGTCATTGTGTTTCTTTTCACAAACCCTTCAAAATGAGGGGTCACTCAATAGGGGTTGCTATTTGAAAAAAATAAGTCACCCCCTACCGTGTTAGAGGGGTTGAAAAATATTTTTGATGTAAAAAATTGTGGAAACTTTGTTAACAATTATTGCCACAAACAGAATATTTATATCTATTTCGGTTTTAGAAATACAGATTTGTTTCAATACTTAATTTACACACTGCATATTAAAACGTGATAGGGTTTTTTTTCACGATTCTGAATCTACCACTTGACAGATTTTCATAATTTTTGTGTTGATAGTAAGATAATTTTGTAAACTAGAGAATGTCGAAGCCATAATTTTAGTTTAGGTAATCAGTTTTTTTTTTTTTTTTTTTTTTTTTAATTAGGCCTAAGTTTTAATTTTTAAAAAGTCTAGCAGCCGACGCTAACATTCTACTATAGCTTTTGGTATAATACCATTAGCTTAACGTAACAGCTGTAATCATTCAGGGTTTTCGACACAAATTCAGCATTTGGATGAAAATTAAATGACATACGTAGAATTGACTTATTTATACTATGTGTAATGATTGATATGTTCATTTACTCGGTAAGAGGATGAGAGTTTATTTATATTTACAGTTTAAATCTGGTAAAATACTAGATGTTCTAATTAATTATTTTAAGCAGTCTCTAAAATATTTAGTTTGTTTTAGTACAACATAATTTGTTATAACTAACAGCTGGTTGAATAAAAAAATGTTTTAAAGAACTATGAGGTTAGTTTATTTACTCTGTGATTTTGTCATTGATTATAGGAAATAAGTAAGATTCTATAACCATTGCTGTATACAAATCGAAACTCACCAATATTCAAAAGAAAGCTTATAAGAATTCTCAAAATCCAGTAAAATTCTTAGGTGTGATGATGCAGAGCAACCTAAAATGGTTTTCCCATATTGATGTTATCGCTCCAAAACTCTCCAAAGGAATTTTTATCTACATATTAATTTGAAACGGTTTTTCTTTGTCATAGCTAAATTGAGAGAACGGCTGGGCGCAGAAACTCGGTAGAGGTGTCTAAAGAAAGGTCTTGGTCTGTAGATGAGCCATCAAAAGAGAAACGTGGTAAATTCCCATGGGGCTCTACCCCAGTGGCCTTTGAATTCCCATCCCATGTTATTCTTATGGAGGAAAAACTGGGTTTTTGTCCCAGCTAATTTTAGAGAACTGCTGGGCGTAGAAACTTGGTAGGGGTCTCTAAAGAAAGGTCTTCGTCTATTAGATGAGCCATCAAAAGAGGAACGAGGTAAATTCCCTTGGGGCTCTGCCCCAGAAGCCTTTAAAGTTGCCTCTTCAAATTTGTTTACCATATGCATAATTCTACACTACTTTTTAATGAAACAGCTGTTAATATTTAAATTGTGATTTATTGAATTTTTCAAAATGAAGTACAGTATGGGTTTTTCTGATTTTAAAATCAATTTTATTCTGCATCGTGTCATGTTTTGCAATATAATGTTCTATTACCAAATCAGTGGAAAATCCTAATATCACAGTAACTCTTAAAATTATTTCTTATGGAGTTAACTTATATCTATTGTATGGCTTGGTTTCTGCCTTTTTTTTACCACTTCTTGGAGATTGTACGAAAGTGATATTCTTTGGCGTATTGCATCTGTAGACGAAACTTGGGTTGGTGAAATTATTACAATGGAAAAAAGCTAGAAATCCTGGACAATTTGATATAGGCTAAAAATAAAACTCAATTAACAATACGCTACATTTCTTGAGCAATCATTGAAATAACCGATTTGCAAGCAATGGAAACATAGAAAAAGTCATAAAACACAACCAAGTAGAAGAAATAGAAATAATGTTTTTTTTTTTCATTTATAATCGTTATCATAGACAACCTAATGCGCTATGAGAGGGAAACATTTGTAGAAAACACTAAAAAACAAGATCAGCTTTTTGAAAAAAATATAAGATATTTACAAAAGATTTTGATTATATCTAACTGTTGTGTAGATTGTGAGTATTTCCATGATCTTTGAGTCGCCTGTAATGCTTCGCAATTGCTCGAATTCGAGCAACAGGTACATTAGTTTTAAGAAATTTAAAATCAATTGTTTCTCCAGATATATTGTTAACTGTGTATTTTAGTTATGTTCATATTCATTTAGTGTATAGTGCCATTCTCTGGGCTAATTGTAGCCATGCCAACTTCTTGTTTGTTTTACAAAAAAGAGCCATTAGACTGTTAAGTAATGCTCCACCACGTAGTCATTGTAAGCCTATATTTACAAAAAGTAAATAAAGAAACGTCTTATAACACTTAAAAAATATATTTTTGCTTATACTGTTACTCACAAAACGGTAAATATACAAAAAAGGTGGTAAGTGGTGATCGATTACGATTGGAGTGTCCAATCAAAATCGATCCACCTTTTTGTATATTTACCATTTACCGTCTTGTGAGTAACAGTATAAGCATAAATATATGTTTTAGGTGTTATTAGACGTTTCTTTATTTACTTTTCGTAAATTTAATAACACGTACGATGCTGATCAAGAAGTTATTTTGCCTATATTTAAGAAATTGTCTATGATGCCCTTAACCTGTATTTATATCTTTCAATGCCTGTTATATATTAAAAATATCCCCGCCGCAGCAAACCTGCAGACTAAGCGAATTTCCATTTGCCTGGTTGGATTTACACTAAAATGTCTCCTTAAAAATATCACATTTATTCCCTATTTAAATATAATCAGTTTAACACATACTTAGGTTTGCTGCATCAGGGAGGGTAAAACTGTTTTTTTTTTTTGTAAAATGTGAATAGTTAGTAAGAAATAAAAACATTTTCCAAATTTGATCAAAATATGTTCAGAAACAAGCAAACTACAACAGTTTACTTATTCTCCATAAGAATAACGTGGGAATTTTAAATTTAAAATTTTTTGGAATTTTCTCCGTAACCATTAGGCGCATAATAACACTTCAATTTACTAAATTATTTGCTTTTTTAAGCTCTACAAAATGGTTTGGAAAGAAATTGCTAAATATTATGTTTTTAGGGTCAAAAATGGGAAAAACCTATTTTTACCCCATAAAACCCCCCGTAAACCCCCGTTCCCATGGTCCGATCATGCTGGATCGCGAACTCGTTCGAATAAACGTACGTTTACACGTTTGTACCAAATTTCATCAAAATCGGATCATTTTTGCTCGAGTTATCGTGCTGACGGACACATATATATATATATATATGAATTTGAACGGATGGTGTTTTTGGACTCTAGGGACCTCAAAACGAAAAAAAAAAATCGGTCCCGTGTCCAGGTCTTACCATGAGTACTACGGTAATAGCTTATTCCCTATATTCCCTATATGGGAAATTCGCTAAAACAACTGTGATATTTTACTTTGTAATAAGGATGTGCACAAGTATGCCACAAGGAATTGTAATAATTTAAGAATAGATCAGTGCCTTTATGCCACCACTCAAGCTAGCTTTAAATATATACCGCTACCAAATTGTACAACAAGTTACCAGTTAAAAAAAATGTTACCATTAAGTGTTCTTAAAGTAGCCATCAAAAGAATTCTACAAAAAAACTGTTTTTATAAAATAGAAGATTATTTTGCCTCAACCTTAGATTAGTTTTAATTTACCCCTAGGTTGTATTATTTTGTTGACGCAGCCTATACACTATTGTACTTTTCAATATACAATTTGTGTCTATGGAATAAAGATGATTTGATTTGAGGTTCTAATGTAAATGGGGCACAAGAGAGTGTAAATATAATTTCGAGCAATTTGCCTGGAAGTAGAATAGTTCTGATTAATTAAACATGCATTGATTGAATACCGTACTTACCAAAAACACATGTGGTTGGTTATGTTTTTGAGGGTCCTCAGTAATCTTGATACAGTTTTCCAATGTTATGATTGGCATTAAGGAAGTTTTCATCGCATCTTCTTCACTGTCAAACACTTCTAGTCGTTCTATTCCATATTTACTAGCCTTGTACAATTTACAATATTTTCTCTGCCATGATTTCTGAAATAGAGGGATCAAATTATAATCTATATCTATATCTATATACAGTACTTATTTAATAGACAAGCAGGTTTTTTGTGACAATTACTCCTCCGAAACTACTGAACCGATTGACATGTTTTTGTTGTCATTGGAAAGAGCGTAACGTGAAGTTGTGCAGGAAACTTTCTTTTTAGGGAAATAATTAGAGAGTGAGGCCCTGGGGCCCTTTAAAGTTTTGTATTTCTCCATAAGATTAACATGGGAAACAAAAATTATTATAAAACTCCAGCTGTTGTCAGAAATTAAAATTGAGAAGAAGAACATATGTTAATTATTGTAAACAGTCAATAAGTTTGCTAATTTAACAGTTTGCTACAAACATTTACTGATTTGGTTGAAGTTAAATATTTATCCTTTAAATTTGGGTTGGCATAAATAAAGCAAGAGACCCTGGATAAATTGAAATACTAAAAAGAAAACTGAGTTAACACTGTGCTGCATTTCTTAGCAATCATTGAAAGAGCCGATTTGCAAACCATGGAAACACAGGATAGTCATAGAACACCACCAAGGAGAAGAAATAGAAATATTGTTTTTTTTTAGAATTTATAATTGTTATTATGGACAACTTAATGCGGCTATGAGCAAGGCGATTTGTAGAAAACACTGAATAAACAAGATCAGCTTTTGAAAAATGATAAGATATTTACAAGAAATGATGATTATATCGATCTGTTATACGTACATATTGAGTTTCCATAATCTTTTGAGTCAAATCTTTTAAAGTCATCAGAAATTATGGTTGTTATTCGTTTTAAAATAACGCCTGTAATACTTAGCAATTGCTCAAATTCGAGCAACAGGGACACTAGTAAGAATAAATATGAAGATAATTTGTTTATAAAACATTTTAAAAAGGCTTCTTGGAAATTATCTGAATAGAATATTACTAATAGTAATATAATAATATAGTAGTACAATAATTTGATAAAAAATATTTATTCCTATTTAATCCTCACAAAATCAGCAAATAGGTAACGGTAATTTGTTTATAAAACATTTTAAAAAGGCTTCTTGGAAATTATTTGAATATAACAAATCGTTTTGATAAAACATATTTATTCCTATTTAATCCTCACAAAATCAGCAAATAGTAACAGTACACAGTCAAACTTAAGAGACCTATGTGATTACTGATGGTATATGACTATATAAAGTAGACTATGCTATATCTTATATATTTAAAAAATTTGGTTTTTCTTTTATATTGTGATGTTAGATTGTTTTTCTTTTAATAGTAGATTATGATAAATGCAGATAGGTTAATCAGGGACCGCGTCTCGTTGTCCCTCCGTCTACTTGTACCTCGAGGCCTAGGGACAACTAGTCGTAGGTACAAGTAGACGGTGGCTCACCCGACTAGTTGTACCTGCAGATTTTTAGGAGGTACAACTAGACGTAGGTACAAGTAGACGTAGGTACAACTAGACGTAGGTACAAGTAGACGGTGGCTCACCCGACTAGTTGTACCTGCAGATTTTTAGGAGGTACAACTAGACGTAGGTACAAGTAGACGTAGGTACAACTAGACGTGTATCCCACCGACAAGTAGTATCACCTAGCTTGTACGGATGCGACCAGTTGTCCCTACGACTAGTAGTCCCTACGACTAGTAGTCCCTACGACTAGTTGTACCTACGCGTATTTTGCGTCCTTATAGTCTAGTTGTATCTATCCTTCAATTCGTTACCCTGTTTAATTGATTACTGCACGAGTACTTTTTAATAATACCCTTAATTAAATCAGGAACTGCAGTGTTCCGAGTTGATTGAGTATGATTGGCAAATATTTTTCAACGCAATACGATGTTTTAGTAGTTTTACAGACGTTAATTGGAGGCTGAAAGCTACGCATTGCTGTCCAGGGTCGAAATGGCAGCTATAGTTGTGATTAAAATTTTCCAGCCCTAGTACCGAAAATCGCTTATTTAATTAAAACATTTATATATATCATCATTAAATATACAAGCAGTATATCCCTAATGAATTGCAATAGACCGCTGCCCAGCAATTATGTATTACTATTTTTGCTGATTCCTTTAAATATTTTTTCACATAACCTTAAAGTATTTGCATTGATTAGTGTGCATATCTTATAGTTTACAATGGATTTCCCAGTGATCAATGAACAATGAAGTGTACAATAAAGTTGAGGTCCAGCGGTTGAAAACTCGACAAAAACTATGCAATGTACTACACATACTTCTCCATTTAACATACACTGTAAATAATAAATGTGATTGGAATATGTTCCATTTGTTTTGATTTTATTTTCATAATTAGTTGTTATTTCGTCACCAGCATAGCAACCCGTTAAATCCATGTTAGTTTTAAACATTTGTAATTCTTTTTTTATGTCTTTTTAGTCTATTTTAATTTATAAAGGCATTCTGTAGATCGACAGGAAAATACATTTCCACCGATATGCGGATATTTTCTCTGTGATGTTCACGAGCTGATAAAAAGGTTGTAAAGAAACATGCTTGCCTACTAGTGCAGTAGAAATAATCGAAAATATAGCTTAAGGTGGAACTAATTGCAACAGAAATGATTCTTGCTGTAAATGGTAGGTAGTATGCTTCTGATCAACATACTAAAAATATACATCCGCACTGTGGCGCAAAATACGTTTTTTGGCCGCCATCTTGAAAAAAGTGTCAAAATTTTAATATTCGTAAAAATAACTTTTTGGGTATCAAATTATAGGAAATTTAATGCTGAAAAATGTTATAATAGTGGTTATAAGCACTATTTAGAAATACGATCGTAGTACAAAATACCCCCGCCGCAGCAAACCTGCAGACTAAACGAATTTCCATTTGTCTTAATTGATTTTCAATTAAATCTAGTAATTCTGTTTTAAACATCTTTGTACAACTAAATCTAGAGTTCTACTGGACCGATTTTATAACCTAATGGGTCATTGGAAAGGAATTCGTGTAGATTTTCAAATAATTATTAAAGTTTGATTTTTTAAGATTTGCTAGGTGAAACCCGTCAACGTCGACAATTAGCTTAGGTACTGTTGACTTTGCAAGTAAGATCTTTTTAACTATAAATCGATGATAGATAACTCCACTTTTAAACAATTTGGGTCGTTTATAATTTAGCAGTGTGCTTTAGGTACGTCCAATCTCAATAATCAATAATCCCAATGGAATCTGGTATTTCACTGAAGATTTTTAGATTAAAACATATAGGATAATGTAGCTGCTGGAATACATTTTTAATTAAAGTAAAAATTGAAAAAATCCGATTTAATTGTTTTCGTAGGGTTATACATTTGATAGATTAATGATGACAAATATGTGCTTGCATAGCTTTGAGACCAAAATTATGAAAATCGGTCCGGTAGAAGAGCCGAACGAACTCGAAAAAAACAAATTTAACTCCTGTAAGTAATGTACAGGGAGGCAGTTTGTGCATAGCTCAAAATATACGTCAAAATGAGTGCTGACGCTTAATAGCAAATCTATGGTGTGTCTATAGCTTTAGTTTAAAGCCGAATTTACACTATGTAGCAAAACCTGCTATATAACTTTTGCTATATAACATTGCTTTATAACTTTTGCTGTATGAAAAATTTACAAACAATTTTAGTGATTCTGGTGCTCGTGCTATATTTTATATGTAGCACAACCTCATTCGCATTCCGTATCGAAATGTGCGCTGAAGAGACATTGTTCGTGGCAGCTATCGTGGTGATCTTGGAAGTCAGAAAGAGAGACAGACAGGAGCGAAGATTTTAGCAAGTTTTAGGTTTGACCGCTTCTTGCTTCGAGAAATAAGTACAGTGTAGCAGATTTATTACGGGACCTTAATGATGATGAATACCCTGACAATTCATAATTAAAACGCTAAATAAGGCGACGGTAACTTCAAAAACGTTTTACGTATGATCACAACGCCGGTTGTCCACGGAACAGTTCAATTAAGTTTATAATATCAATAGCCCCGATAATATCATCCCGATCCTAGGCACTGCCACTTTCCGTTTCCAGTCCTTCCATTGTAAACAAAGATCGCTGAGCAAAACCGTTCAGCGCTACATATAGCAGATGCTAGACGAAAAATATATGTATATCATTGCTACATATGGCAATGTTAGATGTAGCACGTATTTCTTTTGATATTTACCGACTCCCGATGGATAGCACAATTTTATAGCAGGATCTGCTACATATAGCAGTGTTATATAGCACTTTTGTTAAGTTACTTTTTCTACTTCTAGCAAATGTTATATAACATTGCTAGATGTTACACAAATCTGCATAGTAGCAGGTTTAGCTACATAGTGTAAACCCGGCTTAAGGCCAAAATTATGAAAATCGGTCTGGTAGAATAGCTAACCCGACTCGGAAAAGAAAAACCAATTATTTTTATAGATGGCAATAATTGATTTACCAGTATGCATAATCTTACCATACGAAAAATGAGTTGATGATTTAACAGCTTATTGTTATATTGTTATTTAATTAAATTTTCTTTGATTAAATATTGTTGCTAACAATTTGCATTTGAGTTTAAAGTGTGTTTCTTATGTCAAGTGTGTGATTCTAATGTTATGAGCTTAATATGTACCAAATATTAGTGAGTAAAGTGGTGTATGGATTTCATAACCATTATTTTACTAGAGACCGTTGCATTAATTTAACCACAATGGGCTCTGTTGCTAGTCTATTAAATAAATAACATTAGGTTTAACGAAACAAGTACCAAGGTTTGCTGCTACAAGGAAACCAATTAAGTGTGTTTTTAGTGAATATTAATTGTTTAGTATAAAATAAATAAATCTTCAAAGTTTTATCAAAATATATCCATAAACAAGGAAACTACAACTTTTTACCATATTCTCCATAAGAATAACATGGGGATTGTAAATTTCCAATTTTTTGAATTTTCCATGTTACCAATAATCGTACAAAACCCCTTTGATATACTTAACTATTTGTTTTTTAA